CAGTCCTGGAATTGCCAGCATCAGGGCCGGAAACAAAATCAATCTCAGAATGGTTAAAGAGACTTGTGACTAAACAGCTGTGGGAAGGATTCAAGGAGCAAATGGACTCCTGTGCTAGGATGGCCATAACTAAGCCCCACAAGGTTATTTAAACAGAAAGAATGTATTCTCTCACTGTCCTGGAGACTGAAATCTGCGATCAAGGGCTGCTTCAAGTTGCTAGGGCTCCCTCCTAGCTTCCAGCTGCTCCTTGAATTATGGCAGACTTCATACGGTCTTCTTCCTGTATGTCTGCTCAAAACCCCGACCCTATTATTAGCCTGAGAAATTATCTGATTGAGATGAATGGAGTTGGGCTGGGAAAGTGGCTCAGTGGTAGAGCGCTTGCCTTGCATGCCTGAGGCCCTGAGTTCGACTCCTCAGTACCACATAAGCAAAAAAGAAAAAAAGCCGGAAGTGGCGTTGTGGCTCAAGTGGTAGAGCGCTAGCCTTGAGCTGAAGAGCTGAGGGACAGCGCCCAGGCCCAGAGTTCAGGCCCCACGACCGGACCCCCCCCAAAACAATCCCCACCCCACCCCTATTTTAAAAATCAGGATCCCACTTCTCCTGGATTAAGACTCACCTTTACTAGCATCATTTTAACCAATCATGTCTGCAGGAACTTCTTTTCAAATAAGGTCACATTCTGAGGAACTGGAGGGTTAGAATTTCAACATATGAGTTTATTTTATTTCAGTGCCAGTATGAGGGCCTGAACTCAGGGCCTCATGCTCTCCCTTGGCTTTTTCCACTCAAGACCAGTGCTCTACTACTTAAGCAACAGCTCCACTTTCAGTCTGATGGCTAATTGGAGATAAGAGTCTCATGGATTTTCCTGTCCAGTCTGGCTTTAAACCTTGATCCTCAGATCTCAGCCTTCTGAGTAGTGAAGTTTACAGGTGTTAGTCACAAGTGCTTGCCAATATACGAATTTTGAGGAACACAGTTCAGCCCATAAATCATCATCAAAGGGTGTTGAGTGTCCAGAAGTGAACGACAGTTCACAGTTCACAGTTCCAGTGGTCCTTTTGGGTCTTTCTCCAACTTCTCCTTTCTCTGTGCCTGGAAGGCAAATCTTTGCCAAGGGCATACTCCAACTCCCTTGCCTTCTATCTTAGAGGCAGGAGCCTTGAGGTTAGAGAGAGATAGTATGGGTTACCCCACAGTACCCTTCTCGTCTCTCACAATGACTTCATATCCTCTTTTCTCCCTGCTGCTCTCATATTTAACATATGGCAGGCCAGAGCTTAACAATGTTTAAGATATGGATGAGTGTTATATAGTGTTAGAAGCTTTTGAACATTAGTAGTAACAGTGCTTAAGGCATGTCTTTTTTTCTTTTTTCTTTCTTTCTTTATTTTTATTTATTTTTCAAATTTTTTATTGTGATTAAGTGGTTACATAATTTCCCAAATTTCACAGTATTGTGGGATAGTGATGTTCAGTTAAAGTCACAAACATATTCTAACTTTCCTGGAGCAAATTGTCTATCACGGTCTATAACATTTATGAGTTCTATGAGCTTTGCGATACAGTTATTTCTTCCACATTGGGTGGTATGTACATTTCTTGTGTTTTGCATAGCATCAGCTGTTCCCTCTTTCCCACTTGTTCCCTCCCTCCCATTGCTGCCATTGAGTTGCTTAGTTCATTTTGGTCAATGTCCTGTGCAGCTGATGGGTCCTGCTGTTGTATGTTTTTCCCTGATTCCCTCTAGTTCTGTGTCGTCTTCCTGGTTTCCCTCCAGTGTACACATATATACCATACATGTGATCAGCAGCATGGGTTGTTTTTTTTTAGTAGTGATTCGACCAGATGAGTGGAAGTCCTTTGTTTCTTAAGTCCTGTTAATTTGGTCGTATCACCTAACATTTTGGATTTAACATCCACTTATCAGGGAGACCATGTACCGTTTGTCTCTTTGCTCTTGGCTTACCTCGCGCAACATGATTTCTTCTAGCTCCATCCATTTCCCTGCAAATGTTAAGGCATGTCTTAATCTGTTTTCTGTTGCTATACCAGAATACCATAGATTGAGAAATTTATAAAGAGCAGAAGTTCATTTCTGGCTCATGGTTCTAGAGGCTGGGACATCCAAGGTATAGTGGAGTCATCCAATGAGGGGGTCTTCAGGTGTGTTCTCTGGTTAAAGGTGAAAGGCAAAAAGGAAGTGAGAGCAAGAGAGGGCCAAGCTTGTTTTTATAATAAATCACTGTGATACCTAACTCATTCCTATAATAATGTCATTAAACCATTCCTAATTAAAGGTCTCACCTCCTTACACTTTTGCATTTGAGATTAATTCTGCAAAATGTGCATTCACACCATAGCACTGTGTATTCCAAGTGTTTACATGTATTTCATCCTGAATAGCTTTAGAGAGAGATATGAGGGTTATCCCAAGTCTATAGTTGAGTAAACTGTGATTCCTATCTAGCCCAAGGTCAAGGTCATGTAGCTAACTAGCAGACATTGTGGGATTCCATTTAAACCCTAGTGTCATAGATGGTTGCCTTACTTAGCAGACATTCTCTACCCTACTCAACCTTGAGGCAAACTCATATTTGTTTTATAAGACAAGGCTAACCTAAGCTGTTCTGTAGGGCATTCTCAATCCCTTTCCTAGGAAGTGACCATTCATTCTTCACACTGTCACCAGGACCTATATACACATCCAGTGTGGCCCTTCTGAGTCTGTTTTCCTACCTGTGAGTTCTTTAGGGTGGTCATCTCCCAGTCACCTGCCAAATGTAGCAGTACTTCAAGTGTTTCTGAAAGGATTATTTTCTTGCCAGCTCTGTCTGTTATGCTCTAGTATACCCACTGTCCTTGATCACAGTTGACTTCCTTCTTCAGTGTTATCAGACATTTGTCTATGGTGGCCAGTCCTGGACCACCAGCTCCCTTTGCTCCCCTTCTACAGTCTGATCAGGGTTTCTGATCGCCCCCAGATAGGTTCCTAAGCTTCCATCAAGGGACAGTTCCTAGGCATCCTGTGACGGATTCTTTACTTCTACTTTTCAGTTCTGTCCTAGTTAGCAGTTACATTTTGTCCCTTTGTCAAACCTCGAGGGATGTCTTGATGTACCTTTTCTTTGGTTAGGGTATTAGATTTAACTGCCTGCTGAGAAGACTTGGACTCCTCAACTCCCAGTCTGTTCCAGGAGAGCAACCATGTGTATCCATTCCTATACTTTCTTGAGCAAGTATATTAACTTCCAAATCCTTCCCCCATATGCCCTGTGGCTTTTCATTACCACCTAATCCATGTCTTTTCTAGGGTGGTGTGTGTGTGTGTTTCCCTTGGAGCTTGAACTCAGGGCCTGGGCATTGTCCCTGAGCTTCTTTTGCTCATACTCTACCATCTGAGCCACAGCAACACTTCCAGCTTTTCCTGCTTCTGTGGTACTGAGAAATAGAACCCAGGGCAAGCACTCTACCACTAAGCCACATTCCCAGCCTAGGTTTTTTTTTTTTTTGGTCCAGTCATGGGGCCTGAACTCTGGGCTTGGGCGCTGTCCCTCAGCTCTTCAGCTCAAGGCTAGCGCTCTACCACTTGAGCCACAGCGCCACTTCTGGCTTTTTTTCTTTTTGCTTATGTGGTACTGAGGAATCGAACCCAGGGCCTCATGCATGCAAGGCAAGCGCTCTACCACTGAGCCACCTTCCCAGCCCAGGTTTTTTGTTTTTGTTTTTGTTTGGTACTGGGGATCCAATCTAGGACATTGCATTTTGCTAGCCAAGCACTTGAGCTAGGTCCCAGCTCCAGAGTCTTATTCCCAAGTAGGAGACCTCCAAGGATGGCCTGAGGGACACCCAGTGTTTAGTGTGGCCATTTGTCTCAAGCTCCCACCCAATCTTTGCTTCTTCCACAGCCTACTTGGATCCCTGAGAAAGCATCAGAAATGTACTGTAAAAGAAATAAGCCCACGAACCCATGGTTCATGCCTGTAATCCTAGCTACTGAGGTGGCAGATCTGAGAATCACAGTTCCAAGCAAGTTTTTGCAGAAAGGTCCCTGAAACTCTTATCTTCAATTAACCGCCAAAAAGTTGGAAATAGAGTTGTGGCTCAAGTGGTAGAAAGCCAGCCTTGAGTGAAAAAGTTAAGGGACAGTGCCCAGGCCCTGAGTTCAAGCCCTACTCAAAAAAAAAAATGTAGGAAAGGCTATGTCAGGTAGTCTCACAGGATCTTTACACGTTGTATACTTGTACTGAAATATATTGCTCACATATATTACATTGTGTCAATTAAAATCTTTTGGAAAGTGTGTTAAAAATCAGTACCTAACTTTAATTTTTACCTCATGTTTTGTTATGTGCATCATTTTTGTTATTTTTAATCCAAACACACTTGCATTCTGTCTTCCCCCCAATGCAAATAAATGCTCAGGGATGGGCAGCTTGTACATGTATTTTCCCCTAGATCCTCCCTCCATCGCCTGGATTGAAGGAGGTGCTCAGCGTCGACCCCCCCCCCCACTCCCCCCTCCTCGTTCTACCCAGAGCTCCTCCCCGCGGGGGCGGGGGTGCGTAGAAGGACAGAAGCAGTCAGTCTCCCAGCCCCGGGCCGTCCCGGGAGCGAGGCGCGGACCGGAGGGAGAGGACCTGGCAGCCCGATCGGACTTCCTCCCTCCACTCCGGAACTATGCACCCCAGCCGCTGGGACGCGGAAACCCGGGAGGCGCCTTGGGGATCTGGAGAGGCAGGAGCGGCGGCGGGCGGGGCCTGAGTGTGGGTGGGGCTCTAGAGGGGCGGGGCTAGATACTGAGAGCGAGGGCAGGGGGCGGGGCCGTGCGGGAGAGCGGAGGGGCGTGGGAGCGTAGGGCCGTCAGGGGAGCGAGGGACTAGGAGGCGGGGCCGCACAGGGAGCGAGGGGTCCGGGGGGCGGGCCTCAGGGCCCGGGGGCGGGGCCTCACGGGGAGAGTCGGACGAGCTGCGCTTGCCGCGCTCCCGGCACTCTGCAAGCGCCGGGTACGGAGCGGACTGCGGTTCCCGCGCGCAGCCGTCGCCACCACCGTCCCCTCTTCCCGAGCGGGGCTCGGCCCGGTGTGGCCAGCGGCCGGGGAGATGTGAACCGGGGCCCGCGGGCGCGGCCGGGTCGCCGCGATGTGGCTCAAGCCCGAGGAGGTGCTGCTGAAGAACGCGCTCAAGCTCTGGGTGACCCAGAAGAGCAGCTGTTACTTCATCCTGCAGCGGCGCCGCGGGCACGGCGAAGGCGGTGGGCGCCTCACCGGTAAGGGGCGCGCTGGGGCGGGCTAGCTCGGGGCCTCGCTCCCTGCTGGGCCCCGCGGGCCCCCCGGCTCGGGGCTGCGCGTCGCAGGTGGAGATTTCCTGGGAGATGCAGGGCCGCGCTGGCCGAGCCCGGGACTGGTGTTCCTTTCTTCTGCATTTGCCTGGCCGGCCCCCGTCGGGGGTGAGGATCGGGGTGGGGGCGGGGGGGTCGGGACTCGCGGGCTGGTCGGTATCTTTTTCCGGGAGAGGCAGGTGTCTTGGCCACCTGGCCCGGTGAGCTCCCGGAGCTCCCGATCCGGCTTGGGAATCGAAGGAGAAAGGCGGGCCAGAACGTGACCCAAGGCAACGGGAGGTGGGGAGTCGCCCCCAGGAGGGCGGGCAGTGGTGGTGGGGGGCCAGGTGACTGCGGGGTGCGCCCCGGCTGGACCATCGGGACGCAGCTGAAGGTTCCAAGGTGTTGTGGCTGCTGGGGACCTCACTCAGCCAGCTCTTGTGGAACCCAGGAGATCCAGGACGCTCCAGCTGGTGGGCTTATATATCCCTGATGGGGAAACTGAGGCAGGACAGTTTCCCCCCACCCCCAAACAAAACAAATGTGGGCTTATCCGATGCGATTCCTCCTTTCAGTGTCTTCTCGAAGAAAGGAAAAACAAAAACAATACCTGTGAAGTTAATTAAAAAAAAGGCAGGATTTTTCTGAAAGTTATGGCCCACAGTGTTTTGAAGTTAAGGCCATTTTTTTTTTTACTCTTAGGTCAGTGTGAGAAGTGGAGTCTGGTAGAGAAAGGTGGAAGGGGGCTAACTCGGCTGTGCTTCAGCCTTGGAGAAAGTGGGTAGCTGGATTTGTGAGAGGAAGGGGACTTCTGGAGATCCTAGGAGTGCGTAGTAGTTGGGACAACTCAGATGACAGGTGGACTTTGAGGGTGGAGTTAGTGTAGGAGGCCCTAGGAACTTCCCAGCACCCTGAGCAGGACAGAGGGGCCTGCCCAGTGCTTGAGCTCTAGGGAGATGGAAGTTGGTAGCTTACAGTGTGGTGCAGAGAGGGGTTTGATGACCCCAGAATTGAGGACAGTGTATCTTTACCTTAAGTAGGGTATCTAGTCTATAAATGACCTTCTTTAGTAAAGGTTGGGTATTGGGCTTGGAGACTTGAGAAGGGTGAAGCATAGGTCAGTTTGCCCTGCAAAATACTTTCATTCATTCACTTAGTTTATTGCACACTGATATTTGTTTGGGATGTTCTGACTACTACTTTAGAAAGACCCAGAAGGGGGATGAGTGAGAGCCTGGGCCCTTGGTGATGTACCTTCCAGCAGGGCCTAGCGGTGCCTGCGTAAGCTTCAGCTCCCTTCCTGTGAGTTTCTGACTCTGGTGTGCAGACTCAGATGAACTCAAAATAATGTGGGTTGCATTCCATAAACAAGCAGGTCTCATGTAGTGTCTGTGGCTTTGGTCTTGTTTTGGTTCGGGTTTATTGTGAATATGCAGAAATTCCTTCCTTCCTTTCTTCCTTCCTCTCTCTCTCCCTTTCTCTCTCTTCCTCTCTCTCCCTTTCTCTTTCTTTCTTCCTTCCTTCCTTCCTTTCCTTTCTTTCTTTCTTTTTCTTTCTTTCGTCAGTCGTGGGGCCTGAACTCTGGGCCTTGGCGCTGTCCCTCAGCTCTTCAGCTCAAGGCTAGTGCTCTACCACTTGAGACACAGCAACACTTTTGGTTTTCTGGTAGTTTGCTGGAGATAAGCATCTCATAGACTTTTGTGCCTGGGCTGGCCTTGAACCTCGATCCTTATATCTCAGCCTTCTGAGTAGCTAGGATTACAGGCACAAGCCACCAATGCCCAACTTCTCCCTCCCTCCCTTCCTCCCTCCCTCCCTCCCTCCCTCCCTCCCTTCCTCCCCTCCTTCTTTCCTTCTTCTGTACTGGAGCTTTAACTCAGGGCCTAGGTGATATACCTTAGTTTTTTCACTCAAAGCTGACATACTACTACTTGAAACGTAGCTCTACATCTGGCTTTTTGCTGGGTAATTGCAGATAAAAGAGTCCCATGGACTTTCCTGCCTAAGCTGGCTTCAAATTCTAATTCTCAGATTGCAGCATCCTAAATAGCTAGGATTACAGGCCCTATTCTTTTTCAATGGGGTCTCTCTAAGTAACCCAGACCAGCCTCAAACTCCTCACTCTCCTGCCTTAGCCTCCTAAGTGCTGGGATTATGGGACTGCACCTCCACACCTGGCTTATAATTTTTCTAAAGGTTTTAATGGAGAAAGCCCACACAAAGGATACTCTATTCCTTAGAGACCCACAACCTCTTTTTAATTGTGCAAGGGTGACATCTCCTTTAGCCAGGCACTTGACCTTTGAACACTTAGCTGGGAAGCAAATGGCATGGCTCTGCCAGTTGAGCAACTTTGACTTTACCATTTGGCTGTGAAGTATGACAATATTTAGGAATATTATAAGCATAGACTAGATGAGACACTGGACATCTCTATCTTGGTGATTTTTGAAAAATGTTGAAACTTAATTTGGCAGATATTTTAGCAACTTATCTTAAAAGTTTTAAACTTGGATTGCTTGAACTGGATGGACATCAGTGGCTCACACCTGTAATACCAGCTACTCAGGAGGCTGAGATCCACTACTGTTGCTGTTCCTCTACCTAATTCCATCTTTTCCCTAGAACTCTTGCTTTTGAGGATGAAGGGTCAGGACAGCAACTCTTCAGATGACTTGCCCCTAGCAGTTCCAGAGATCTGTTTTGTATTGGCTGGAAAATGAAATTCTGTCTCAGAATAGTTCTGGCAGCTGCTACATCTTTGTCAGGTTAGAGCAGTAGCTTCAGTATCATGAAATGTTTCCACAGCTCCACTGATGAAACTTCTCTACTCTGGGAAGGAAGTAAAGCGATACAGTGTCCTCTTGGGTACAGTCTCTAGCCCCTGGGAATCTTTCTTAGGAAAGTTCTGTCAACTGTGGGGGAATTGAGTGGGAGAAGACTGCGTGTGGCAGGCAGTGGACAGAAAGGATACCTTCCCCACCCCCACCCCCCCAAACACTTAAAGCCAGTAAATACATGTAACTCTGAAGACCAAATATCAATGCCCTTGTGGGCCCCTCTAAAAGCTTTTACTTCTCAGTGCTGCATTATGTGCAATCCTGTATAATTTTGCAATTCTTTCTCAAATAGACTGGCTGTTAGTTGGAAAGTTACAATTTCATGTTTTGTGCTTTGCAGAATGCTTACTTTAAGCCAGGTGTTGGTGGCTCCTGCCAGGAGCCTGAGATCTGAAGACTGAGGTTTGAAGTCAGCAGGACAATCTGTGAAACTCTTTTCTCCAATTAACCACCAGAAAGCCAGAAGTAGAGGAGTGGTTCAAGTAGTGGAGTGCCAGCCTTGAGCAAAAATGCTGAGAGACCCAGGCCCTGAGTACTGGCACATAAAAAAATACCAAATACAAACAAAACATGGTGCACATGGAGAATTTACTTGTGTTTGGCACTCAGTAGCTTTGAAAACAGAAAAGCAAAGTAACATTTAAACAAATTATCATGAGCACATCTGCAATTAAATGTATAAATAAGTTTGTATTGTAGTAGAGGACATTAGAAATATGCATTTATCTATTAGAAAGTGCAGTATTTCCTCAGTGTTGGGGATCTTCCCAATGACTCCATCATTCCCCAATTGGGCATGTCTGAAGAACAAATCAATATATATAAGTAAGATACATGTTCATTGAAGCTTTGTTTACAATAGCCATACAATGGAATCAGCTGAGGAACTGAACAACAGATGAGGAATATATATATATATATATATATATATATATATACACACACACACACACACACACACACACACACAAATATATAATGTATATATATATACACATTATATGTATATATATGTATATATATATGTATATTATATATATGTGTATATTATATATATGTATATATATTATATGTATATATATGTATATATAATGTACATATGTGTATATATGCATAATATGTATATATATGTATGCATATATGTAAATCTGGAATTCACAGCTAAAGAAAAATATTCTGTCATTTGTAGGAAAAGATGCAATTGGAGGACATTGTACTGATCAAGGCAAGACAGGTTCAAAAACAAGATATCATGTTTTCACTCATGTGGAAGATAGACATACATATTCATGAATATATATATATATATATATATATATATATATATAGCTGTGTACATAATTGCATAATTAGATATATAGAGAACATGAGTCCAACTGTGGGGCTACTTAGGAGGGGAAGAAAGGTTAGGGAAGAGGGAATAGGACAATGAATAATTTTGACAATAAATTTGCAAGTATACGTGAAAACAGTATAATTGTTTCCTTCCTTCCTTCCTTCCTTCCTTCCTTCCTTCCTTCCTTCCTTCCTTCCTTCCTTCCTTCCTTCCTTCCTTCCTTCCTTTCTCCTGGGACTTGAACTTAGGACCTGGGCACTGTGCCTGAGCCTCTTTTGCTCAAGACTAGCGCTCTACCACTTGAGCCACAGCGCCATTTCCGGCCTTTTCTGTTTATGTGGTACTGAGGAATAGAACCTAGGGCTTCATGCATGCTAGGCAAGCACTCTACCACTAAGCCACATTCCCAGTATAATGGTTTTTTAATGAAAGCTGTTGATTAGTTGGAGAGAGGAAAGAGAAGTAGTTTGTGTGTATGCGCGCGCATGTGTGTGTATTTGTGTGTGTGTGTGTGTGTGTGTGTGTGTGTGTATTGGGGGTGGGACTAAGGAAGATGAAAGAGGCTGAAGGTGGTGGAAATAATTTGTGGGCATGTATGAAAAGGGAACACTGAAACCTGTTGAAACTGTATTAGGAAAAAGGCACAAAGTAGAAGATGGTGGCTGAAATTGGTTGGAATACATTGTATCTGTTTGTGGAAATGTCACAATGAAATCCCCACTTGTAGAACTAACATATGCTAATAAAAACAAAAGACTGTAGTCTTTCCTAAG